CCATTGTTAATGGGCCGTGGCTTCCAAGATCTTGTTGGTAATATATGGGCTCCATTTATGGAGAGCCCTTTCCTTTCAGGGCAACCGCCATGTTTACCCTAAAAATCTATTGTAAAATCACTCATTGTTTATTCTTCTAAAGGAGGCACAGGCTGCGCCATTGTTCTTCGGTTGGAGAGTAAATAGGCCCTCTGGTTTTTGTTGCCTACAAGGGGGCTTAGCCAGATCTAATCTTTTCTAAACCTGTTCTGTTCTTGGGCTCAGCAGAACGGCCTAATTGTCAACATTAATCTCCCGCCCCCCTTTTGTGGTCCATTCTGTCAATAGACTATTGAGTGTTCAGTAAATGACAGCCCTCCCAGTAGCCAGGCCTAAGGACACAAGTTAAATCACAGGCCTGCCTGTGCCTACTCATTTTTAATATCTGTGAACTAGCTGTTAAGCTGGGGGGTGGGGGTGAACACGATGCATGTGGTATATCCTTCTCAGGTTTCTGTACTGTACAATCAGGTATGTGGGGGTTTCTTTTTCTAGGCAACAGGTGTGTTCTTGGAACAAAGTTCAACACCCTTCCCTCACCCCCCCCCTTTTGGCTTGCGACAGAGGTGGCAGCTGCAGGCTTAACTCCAGTGACACAGGGCTCTGGGAGGGCACAGACCTAAACTGCTTGTTCACTTTATTAAAGCGACAGGCAGATGGGCTCTGGAATCCTGTGCTTTTCCTTGTGTTACAGAGTCAGGGCCTGCATTTTCAGATGAGCCTCTCTCTCTTATTGCTCTCTGCTTCCCTCTTTCCCTATATTTTCTCATCTTTCCCCTCCTTCCTTTCTTTTCCCTCCCCCTTGCTTTCTCCCTTCTTTTTCTTTCTTTCCCCCTTGGACTCCGGTCTCCTCTCCAGCCCGTCCACACCTCCTTCTCTTTTGTTCCCTTTCAGTTTTTCCTTCTGTTAAAACAAGCAGGACACTTGTAAAGCACTTCGTCCTGTCCGTTTCCATTGTTGAGAACATATTTTCATTAGAGCCGCACTGTTTA